AAACAGAAAACATCTAAAAAGTCCCATAGGTCTCGGGCTCAGGTTCACTCAGTCTCTCATTAGTCTCCTGTTCCCAAGTGGACTCTGACTTTGTCACATCCTTGGGTTGCAATGTCCCCACTAGCTGAAGTGGCCTCTGGGAACCACACAAACCCTGTTCGCTCCACGATGCTCTGCCACTCCCCACACTTGCTGGAACTCGCCCACTTTCCTCTGTAACAACGGTCCAGCGTGACTTCAGTGCTAATAGCAACACCACATGAATATTTCACACTTCCAGGTTCGTGTCTTACTCGCTTCTATGAAACTTTCTATCTCTCGAGAGCTCACCAGAAAGGGGCGGGGTAAGAATGGCACCCAGGGCCAAAATCCCTTATGTTTTGCGGTCTCCAGGATGGGTGGGACGATCCTTGACTTTTATGGATCTCAGGTTAATCTTCTTTGAAAAGATGTGCAAACAACGACCTGGTATAGTTGTAAAGATCAAAGACACACACAGAAGGCACCTGGGGCGCAGTTGATAGAGCAGCTCCAGGTCTGAATCCAAGTGTCATAAGTGAGGGCGTTACCGTCTTCACAATGACCCCCATAAAGCAAGGTAAAGAAAGCGTCCGCGGTTCTCTGTCACCACTGTGAACTTCATTAAGTTACTTTTGTGTGTGTCGGTGAGTGTGCACATGTAGGTGCGTGGACGTGGACACCTGAGGTCAGCCTCCGGTGTCTTCCTTAGAAACCTTCTACTTTGCTATTTGAGACAGAGTCTAAGCAGGCTGAGCTGGCTGGCCATCGACCCCCAGGGGTCCACCAGTCTCCATGCCCATGGCACTGGGACTTAGTGGCCACCACCACGCCTGGAGTTTACATGAGTTCTGGGAATCAAACCCAGAAGTTCACTCCCGTGGCAAACATTTCACTGACTGTTCTCCCCAGTCCCTTCAATTTTTCTTTTTCTTTTTAGACACAGGGTTGTGTTTGGTGATGGCTGGCCTCCAACTCAGGATCCTCCAGCTGCAGCGCCCCCCTCCCCAGTGCTGGGGGTCATAGGCATGTTGCCCCCCTCCCCAGTGCTGGGGGTCATAGGCATTGTTGCCCCCCTCCCCGGTGCTGGGGGTCATAGGCATGTTGCCCCTCTCCCCAGTGCTGGGGGTCATAGGCATTGTTGCCCCCCTCCCCAGTGCTCCGTGTTCCCAGTGCTGTCCTGTTGCTAGCTGTCTTTTACTGATTTTGCTGCTTCCGTCGGCCCCTGCAACACTGTGGCTCCTCCAAGCTGTAAGACTCGGGGTCACTTTTGCACCCCCACCTTCTTCCCACCACTCTTTCAAAATATCTCTTGAAGTTCACTTTTTTCTTCTGGGATCCTCCCTGGGCTTCAGTGACTAAAGCCTCCTTGCATTCTTGACAATTAACTGCCTAGGCAATCCCTCTGCCCTTGATCATCACACTGGATGGGTCCAAACCCCTGTTCTCGTGAGGCAGCCTTTCTGCTCTGAAGGCCTTTGCCACTGTCCTCTGGCCCCACCCTTCTCTAGGGCTCCCCTGCTTTCCAGGCAAGCCCTTCATGTCAGGGGTGCTACTTCCCCATTCAGTAAGGCTGATGGGTTGTTCTAGGTTAGCCCCATCCTCCGTAGATTATTCTAGGTTAGCCCTAGTCTCTGTAGATTATTCTAGGTTAGCCCCAGTCTCCGTAGATTAGTCTAGGTTAGCCCTAGTCTCTGTAGATTATTCTAGGTTAGCCCCAGTCTCCGTAGATTAGTCTAGGTTAGCCCTAGTCTCTGTAGATTAGTCTAGGTTAGCCCTAGTCTCTGTAGATTAGTCTAGGTTAGCCCTAGTCTCTGTAGATTAGTCTAGGTTAGCCCTAGTCTCTGTAGATTAGTCTAGGTTAGCCCTAGTCTCTGTAGATTAGTCTAGGTTAGCCCTAGTCTCTGTAGATTAGTCTAGATTAGCCCTAGTCTCTGTAGATTAGTCTAGATTAGCCCTAGTCTCTGTAGATTAGTCTAGGTTAGCCCCATTCTTGGTAGACTCTTCCTTACCTAAAGACCATTTGCTGGAGACCATTTGCTGGTCACTCAACCAAATTGTACACTGTCTTTGAAGCCTTTAACAGAGACCTTCTAGACTCTCTCTCTTCCAGAGACCTCTCTCCATGGCAACTGTTCCCTCTGTCAATCATCTGGGACTTGGTTACATACAGTTTATTGAACATGCTTCATGTTACAGTCACTTCAGGGGATTTTAAGACTTATTCTAGTTGAATTTGTTTGTTTTTTGAGATAGGGTTTCTCCACATAACAACCCTGGTTGTCCTGGGACTCTCTTTGTAGACCAGACTGGTCACAAACTCACCGAGATCTGCCTGCCTCTGCCTCCCTAGTGTTGGGTTTAAAGCCATGAACCGCCACTGCCTGGCTCATTCTAGTTTTGAGTGGTGGTACATGCCTATAATCACAGCACTTGGGAGGCTGAGGCAGGAGGATCAATGAGTTTGAGGCTATCTTGGGTTATATAGTGAGACACTGTGGGTTTGTCTGTGTTAGATCTGTCTGTCTGTCTGTCTGTCTGTCTGTCTGTCTGTCTATCTGTCTGTCTGTCTGTCTATTGCTATCTATCCCCTCCCTTCCTCCTGTTTTCAGGGCTGAGAATCAAACCCAGGACCTCAGAGATGCTGGGCAACTGCTCTACCATGGAGCCATATCCCTCCCTCAGCCCTTTCTCCTTTTCAGAGCTTCTTTGGGTATTATACTCCACAACCTGGCTTGGGAAGAGCTGTCCCTGCTTGTCCTGAGGTGCAGTCAGCTTGGTGGCTACCCAGCTCTCGCTGACATGGGCTCAACAGTCAGTAGCTGAGGTTTCCCTGGGGAAAGCCCCTCTGCTCGGGGGACCCCTCAGAGGGTCTTTTCCAGGCTCCCGTCTCCCACAGTTCCCAGCAACATCATTGTCCACGGACACCTTTCTGGGAGTGAGGGTTCCACTCCTAGACCCCTGACACAGGAAGTGCTGGGCTCCTGCTCCACAGCTGCCTGGGCCATGGAGACCCAGGGTAGGATAGAGTGGTTCTGTTGTCTCCTCAGTGTGCCCCACAATGAACAACTGCACTGAGATTCAGCCTTCAGAAGTCTCTAAACCAGAAATGTTCACCGGCCTATTTACCATACCCGTGAACACAGGAGCCAGTGGTGTTGGCTGGGTACAAGGCTGGAGGGATTCTCCTGCAGCCCACTCCTACCAGACACTTCTCGCTAGCAGCCTTGGAGTTCTCCACCCCTTCCCCTTCCCACATTCTTCTAGGGATGATCTTTGACACCGTGACAGCTATTGTCATTGACAAAACACACACTTGAGAACTGAGCAGTCAAGTGACAAAAAGAAATAAATAAATCAGCAAAGGGGTTGGGCAAATTGCACAGGCCTCTAATCCTGGAACTTGGGAAACAGAGGCAGGTGAATCTCTGTGAGTCTCAGGCTGGTCTGCACAGCGAGTTCTAAGACAACCGGGGTTACACAGAGAGAACTTGTCTCAAATAGAATACCAACAGACACAAACACATCTTCGTACCACAAGCAAAAACAAATATCTTCTAAATGAACCCTTGAAGTAAACAAAAGTATGGAGACATTTTCAGGAGACTTAGAAGATGTTTTGCATTTTTTGCATGGGGAGGGAGTCTTGAACCAACCTTCCCCCAAATCACAATCTAATGACCATGAAGGAGAGAGACAAATCTCATCCAGGTAAAGTGTTCCTAAGCCAACATGGTGAGTCACACCTGTAAACCCAGGACTGGGGAGGCAGAGGCAAGAGGATCAGAAGGTCAAACCATCCTCAGCTACACCACCTGCAGGGACCAAGCTCAGGTCAGAGGACAAATGCCTGGGTTTAGCCCAGCTCTGTGGCCAGCAGGGCAGTGAACCATCCAGTGACTCACCTTAGCTGCCTGTCGTCCTCACCCCAAGGAGTGAGAAGCTGGAGGGTGTAGGACAGCCTGTGCACAAACACTGAGATATTGTGAGCTCTGGACACACCCAGGTACTAAACAGTGATAGAGTCGGGGAGACCCTCGCTTCCTGATCACTTCTCTGTACTTTCTTATCTCTTTAGCCAGGTCTCCTGTAGCTCAGGCTGGCCTTGAACTTGCTGTGTAGCTGAGCTTGAACTCCCGATCCTCCTGCCTCGACCTCCCCAGTGCTAGGATGTGCCACCATCCTGGTTTGATACAGGGAATCAGAGAGGGGCTTTGTTCACGCTGGGCGAGCACTCCACCCACCGAGCCACCTCCCTAACCCAACTTGTGTGTACTTTCCCCCTGTCTCTGTGAGAGAATGAAAGTATTGTTTGCAAGCGCTGAGTAGTAAAACCAAAAGAGTTTTTTCACTGAGCCTGGCAAGAGGATCTCACTTCGGGGGACGTGCTAAATGTTCGAGACGTTCTTGTGGAGGACCCCCTTGGGGCTCAGGTTTGATGGTTCCTCCTCACCCCCACCAAAGGTTGGTCTTCACTTGGGTTGCAGGTTTGACGGTTTCCCCCATCACCACTACCAATGGGAAGTCTTCAGTTGGGGCGCAGATTTGACGGTTCCTCCTCACCCCCACCAATAGGAGGTCTTAAACTCTACTGACTCCCTTTCAGGATGAGAACGCCTCTGAGACACGGGAAATACACAGACTAAGTCTTTGCTGCGGGTCAAGGAGAACGGCGTTGAGAGCAGGTCCTTCTCCAGCTGCCCTGTTTCTCACCAGCCCTGGGGACAACCTGTCTCGTGCTTTGTGTGCCGTCTGCAGATGCAGTTCCTGAGTTCCCAGCTCCTGCCTGCCTTCTCCTACAACCCTCCTGGTATCCGGGGCACCTTGGTCTTCGCCGCCACCTCCATTTCCATCTCTTCCAGGTTCTGACACTGGCCTTCCTTCCAGACCTTAACACACCGTGTGGACCCGTAGGAAGCTCGGAAGTCCCCAGGCCTCCTCACTGGCTAGTCTTTCTGGGACTCACAGGGTTGGCTCCTTACCTGGAAGGCTTTGTGCTGGGCTCCTTGATGAAGGAAGGCAGAATGAAGAGAGAGGTCAGCACAGCCAAAAGCAGGACCCCCTGAGCGCAAGGATGCAATCTCTCACACCAGATCTTCATGGTGCCTGGCTGGATCCCAGAAGCCTGTGGGAAAGCAAGTCTCTGACAGAGAAGTCACGTGGCCTCCGTGTGCAGGTATTTGGGCCAGGGAGCGCTGGTCTGTCACCTCCTATCTAGCCACTTTGGAGAGCAGAGGAGGGAAAGGAAGGGTGGAGTATGCTTTAAGCTGGCGTGGATTGAAGGAAGAGAAACTCCTGTTCAAACAAGGTGGTTTTTTTTTTTTTCCTTTTTAATCTCTGAAGCCAAATTCAGGAGAATTATATGAGACCATGTATCTATCACAAACAGCCTCGCTTTTATCTGGTCACCTCCTCTCTCAGCCTCATCCATAAGCGAGAGAAGTGGTGGTGTTCATGCTCAGGTGCTCATCCACACTCAGGTGCTCCACACACGGCCACCATCAAGGGTCAACTTCCTTAGTTTCTCTGAAACTGTGACTGGAGCAGCACCAGCCAGTAACGTTTCTGAGACTCGCTCGCATCCAAGGACCATAGAAGGCTTCACAGAGAAGCATCCAGGACTGGGGAGAAGGCTCGGTGGTTGAGAACACAGCTGTTTTAACCCAGCACCCACAAGGCAACTCACAACCATCTGAACTCCTGCTCCGGCGGATCTGCTGCCCCCTTCTGGCCTCCATGGGCTCCTGCACACTTGTGCGCAGACATACTCTCAGGTCGGATTTCCAGATAACATACAAGTATTGTGGATTCTTGCTTCTAGGATGCTGAGCTGTGCAAGCACTCAGCAGGCCCAGGGTCACTTGGAAGGTGCGGTTCTGCAGGTTTGAGGGCTTGGGTTCATTGCTCACACCTCAAAGCTTCTGTTTCTGCCCCAAAGCCCTTGGCCCTCACCCACATCACGCACCAGCGAATGCCTCACCCACCCTCCTAGGGACAAGAGCATGCTATCAGGCTCCTAGCGAGCCAGGGCTTGTAAGACAGTTAATGGGTTTAAATCCCACTGCAACTCTTGGCACCAGAACAGGGGCACCCCTCCCTTTCAGGGAACTCTTGTGTTCTGTCTCTGCCTCACTGTCTTTTTCTGTCTTTCTGTCTCTCTGTCTCTTTCTGAATAGGCTCGTTGTCAAGTCCTTGTTCTTGGGGCTGGGATGATGGCCCAGTTGGTAAAGTGGTTATTTTGCAAGGGTCTTTACCCTAATTAGTTCAATCCTCAATAGCCACATGAAAGGAAAAAAAGTTGTGTGTGGTGGTGGGGAGTCAGGTGTGGAAAGATGGTTCAGCTGGTGCTTGATGTTCAGCTCTCATGGCCTGACTTTGATCCCCAGAGTCCATGGAAAGGTGCAACCCAATGAAGTTGTCCTCTGACATGAGCACCCACCTCCAATAATAATAATAGTAATAATAATAATATAAAATGAAAACAAAGCAGGGCATGATAGTACATGCTTATAATTCTAGCAATGGGGAGTCAGAGACTGCCAGATCTCTGGGTTCACTGGCCAGTATGGGCTACTCAGTGGCATAAGACCAAAATGGGAATGATATACCTGACAAGTTAATGGAAGACCAAACCAGGAAAATAGACCTTGCAGGTTAAGGGTTCTGTTTTCAGCTAAGACAGTTAAGGACAAGTTCCAGTTTGTCCTGTGGTAAGCTCTTGCCAGGTAAGGTTCTATTTGTAATTAAAAAGTAAGATCCTGCACGGTCAACAAGACAAAACGACAGCCTACAGAATGGGAAAAGATCTTCACTAACCCCACATCAGACAGAGGGCTGATCTCCAAAATATACAAAGAACTCAAGAAATTGGACAACAAAAGATCACATAATCCAATTAAAAAAAAAATGGAGTACAGACCTAAACAGAGAACTCTCAACAGAGGAATCTAAAATGGCTGAAAGACATGTAAGGAAATGTCCAACATCCTTAGCCATCAGATGATGGAGGAAGGTCATTGGTTAATTATAATAAAGAAAATGCTTGGCCCTCATAGGTTAAAACATAGGCGGGCGGAGTAAACAGAATAGAATGCTGGGAGGAAGAGGAAGTGAGCTCAGAGGCCATGCTCCCCTCTCCCGGGCAGACGCCATGAAGCAAGTTACCAGGTCAGACATGCTGAATCTTTCCCGGTAAGACTGATGCTACACAGATTATTAGAGATGGGTTGATCGGGATATGAGAATTAGCCTGTAAGGGCTAGAGTTAATGGGCCAAGCAGTGTTTAAATGAATACAATTTGTGTGTTGTTATTTCTGGTGTAAAGCTAGCCGTGTGGGAGCCGGGCGGGATGAAAAGCAGGCCCGCAGCTCCTACAACACTCAGAGAAATGCAAATCAAAACAACTCTGAGATTCCATCTTACACCTGTAAGAATGGCCAAAATCAAAAACACTGATGACGACTTATGCTGGAAAGGTTGTGGGGCAAAGGGAACACTTCTGCATTGCTGGTGGGAATGCAAGATGGTACAACCTCTTTGGATGTCAGTGTGGCGATTTTTCAGAAAATTAGGAAACAACCTTCCTCAAGACCCAGTAATACCACTTTTGGGTATATATCCAAAGGATGCTGGGGAGTGGTCACCCTTTGGTGGGCATTCTTGGAGGTGGAGTTTGGACTGAGGCAACTCCCAGGAAAGGGAGCTTGGAATGGAGTTTTCTGCCCAGCCTTCCAAACATGGATGCCAGGGGGCTGGGATGAGGCCCCTGACCAAATACGCCAGACTCTGTATAAAGGGGTGCTGGGGAGCTGAGGTGATGCTTCTGACCAAACATTTCAGACTTTCTTTGGATAAAGAGCATCAGCTCAAATCTGGCTGCTTCCTGCAGGCATGGGGGCAATATGGGCGAGGGCAGAGCTGGGAGTTGGTGAGCTCAGCGAGAGGTGTGGCTAGAGGGGCATCCTGTTTACTGCCATCCTGGAGACGCCAGGCATCTGTTCCTTGAGGGAGATAAGAAGGCACGTGGCTAGGAGAAAAAAATATTGTTATTACCCGTCTTGTTTGTATAGACAAAGATAAGTGTGCCAGGCTGAGGAGCAGGTAGGCCCTTCATTGTGGCATCTTGGAAAACCAGAGGGTGGAAGGTCCTAACTGCTGGACAGAACAAGTGTCCTGAGTAGGATCCTGCTTGAGCCTGGAGAGATGGTACCAGCATGGATGTCCCAGGAGCTTAGCAGCAGAGGGGGTGGTGAGGATTACCGTGTGAGGTCCTGTCCATTGAGGTTCAAGAGACCTAGGAGTTAGCTGTTTGAGGAGTACTCTGTCCCCTGGGGAGAGTGGGGCAGGCTCAGGGGCACTAGGGTCCACTGGTGTGGGGGCAGGGAGACAGCTGTCAGCGTGTGAATGGAGAAAGGACCTCAGAAGGGAGAGGTAGGGTAGGTACCCTGCCAGTGGAGGAGTTAAGTCTGGATGTGATGGTTAAGGAGAAAGGGCCTGCCATAAAGCAGCTCAAAAGGGCTCAGGCCGTAGGGGAACATGGGGTGGCCTGAGGCAAGTAAGGGCACTGGGGAGAAGGGAGGGTCAAGATAACCTGAGTTCAATGGAGAGCTTGATTAGCTGTTGTTTGATGAGCCCATTGGCCCTCTCCACCTTTCCCGAGGATTGTGGATGTGGAATTTCCAGGAGATGTTGAGAGCCTCTGACACGAGCTCCATGACCCTGGAAGTGAAGGCTGGCCCATTGTCCATTGGATGGTCCGTGGGATGCCAAGCCAAGGAATGATGTGGTCCAGGAGTACCATATCATACCATATGAGCCACCACATCTTCCATTTCCCTGGAGGCCGGAAATGCTTCTATCCACCCTGTAAAAGTGTCCACAACTGTTAAGAGAGTTAACGGAATTTTTTATGAGTAGGCATTTGAGTGAAATCAACCTGCCAATACGAAGCTTATGTAGAGACTGACGTATATGGAGAGCCCCCTGTGGATTGGCCTTGGCACATGTCTGGCAGGAGGAGTGAACCTGTGAAATGTGATCTTGGAGAGGGGTGGGGTCAAAGAGGGGCTCTAAGAAATGGAACAAAGCTTTGAGACCTATGTGTAGGGTCTGGTGAATGTCTGAAATGATCAACAATGCCTGGTCTTGAGGAAGGATGAGCCGGTTATTTAAGTAGAACCATCCACCCTTTGTTTCCGTGCCCCCCATTTTATGAGTTCATCCCTCTCTCCTGGCTGGTTACAGGGCTGATAGGAGGGAGTTAAGAACAAGATATGTTCTGTGGAATCTGAGGAACTGGAGACCAGCCCCCGGGCCACTGAGTCAGCCTTGGCCACTGGGTCCTTGGAGGACTGGAGTCCCCGCTAGTGAGTGATGGCTACTTCTGCAGGGAACTGAGGTAGGCTTATTATAAGGGGTCTGTTAACTATGAGGGTATCCTTGGTAGTAAGGAAGCCCCTTTCCTTCCAGAGTGCAGAGTGATTATGGGCTGTTAAGAAGGCATATTTAGAGCCAGTACAGATAATAGCCCGTTGGCCCTCGGCTATTTGGAGTGCCCTAGTCAAGGCAATTAATAATAATAATAATAATAATAAATTAGCCTTTTGTGATGAGGTTCCCATTGGCAGGCAGGTCGCTTAGACTGTGTTAGTGGAAGGGACCACTGCATACGCTGCCTGGCAGTTTCCTGATTTGTCTTTAAGGCAACTTTCCAAAATCAACAAACAGAGTGAGTTGGGGATTTGTAAGTTGCTGGTCTAGAAGACCCTGCCAACGTGAGCTTAGGGCTACAGCCTCTGGGCAAGAGTGAGAGGAGATACCAGAGGGGGAGGGAATAGGAAAGAGAGTTGGGGGGGTGGTTAGGGCAGGACTGGAGGCCAAAGTAATTTGGGGTTTTCTAGAAACAGTAAGTGAAAAACCTGGACTCGCGGAGGCAGAGAGAGAGAGAGAGAGAGAGAGAGAGAGAGAGAGAGAGAGAGAGAGAGAGAGAGAAGGGGAGAGAGAGAGAGAGAGAGAGAGAGAGAGAGAGAGAGAGAGAGAGAGAGAGAGAGAGAGAGAGGTGGAATATACCATGATTGGCCTGGACAGGGTGATCTTGAGAGCCTCCCGAGTGAGTTCAGCTGCCGCCGCCAGGGCTCTTAGGCATGTCTGCCATCTATAGACACTGAGGTCCAACTGGATAAAAAGGCAACAGCCTGATTTGAAGACCCAACCTGTTGGGTTAGAACTCCAGTGGCCACTCCTGACCTCTCACCTGTATAAGGTGGTACGGTCTCGTGGGGTCTGGAGGAGCGAGAGAAGAGGCTCTTAGAAGGGCATCTCACAGTAGAGAGAAATGGTGGTGGACGATGGCCGGGTGGGTGAGAGGCCCCATTGGGGGTCTCTCTGGCTGCCTGGTACAGAGGCTTGGCTGTAATGGAAAAGTTTGGGAATGAATGAGAAAAGAATCACCCTGCAAGAATGCAAGGCAGTGGCAGAGTCTTAAGTGGGAAGGAACGGGTCCCGTCTCCCCCACGACTGAAATTGGTGAGGGAAACGTAGGGCTCGAGTGAGATGTTAAAACAGAGTAGGTAGCTCCCAAAAGAAAAGTAATGGACTTACCTGCTACCTGCAGCACTACCCTAGGCTCCGAGAGGGCTATGGGAGTCACGAAGCCTGGGCTGTGTCAATCCTCTGCAAGGCCGAGTAGTTCAGAAGCTGGCACAGTCTCCCTTGCCGATGTTGGTGAGGCTGGACCTCTGTGGTGCGGCACAGAGGATGAGCCCGCATGGGGGCATTGTGATTTCCAGGGCCCAGGGTGCTGGCGAATAGGGCATGGTCTCGTAGGCGGCAGAGGCCCAGGGCAATATTGTGCCAAATGGCCATTTAGACCACATTTGTAGCAGGCTCCCAGCAAGACTGACTTAGGCTGAGCTCCAGCGGGATAGAGCCTCGTGGTTGACTTCCCACTTCTGGGGGTCCCGGTGGCCTTAGGGCAGCTGCTAAGGCTTGGGCTTAGAGCATTACCTCCTGCTGCTGCCTTGTCTGTTGGGAAGACTCGGCTGTTTCTTCGAGGGGGGGGGGGCATTAAAAACTTTACAGGGCATTTTCACCAATTCCTGTATGGGGGTTTGGGGACCTTCCTCAGCCTTTTTTTAACTTTTTTCTGATATCTGGTGCTGACTGAGAAATGAAATGGGTAGCTAGGACCGTGGCTCCTGCCGGGGAGGCTGCGTCCAGTCTAGTATACTGAACCATGGTCTCTTGTAATCAGTTTTTAAAAATGGCCAGGTTTTTGTCAGCTAGCTGTGTGATCTCTTGAAGTTTGTCAAAATTAACTAATTTTTCCAAGACCATCTCCATACCCTGAAGGAGGCAGCAGACCATGATGTCCCGCCTCTGTTGGCTGTTTTGGCCAGGTTGGTAATCCCAGTATGGTTCTGTGGCTGGCACGGCCATTTCCCCCACAGGGAACGTCCACTAGGTGAGTCTGGTCTGCAAGCTGTCTAGCTGCGGCCTGAATTCTGCCTCGCTCTTCAGGAATGGGAGTGGAGGCCTGGATGACAAAGCAATCATTCCAGGATAAATTGTGGGCTTGGGACACAGTGAAACTCCTTAATATAAAGAGAAGGATTAGCAGAGAAAGAACCCAATCACTTTCCTATCTGAGAGAGATCCAGAAGAGAGGTGGGAACGTGGACTTTAAAAGTGCTATCGGCTCCCACTACCTCCCAGAGAGGGCAGAGAAGGGCAGGGTTATGGTGAGATCTGGTATGAGAGGAGACAAGGGAGGATTGGGAGGGGTTAGGCCAAGGTGTAGAAGGGGTCCAAGAGGTGAGTTGTGGCATTGGGGGGGGGTAGGGAGAGGCAGGAGGGGAGGCTGGGGAGGGGGAGGAAAGTGGAGAATGTTGTTCCACAGGAGGGGGTTGGGTATTTAGGGTTCAAATAAGAGGGGGAGGGGCCAGTGTCTCTGGCAGCATGGTCATGGTGGAGCTTTCAGGGTCCCAATTCCCAGATGGTCAGGAATCTGAAGATGCCGTGATCCTGGCGACCCAAACTGGTGCTGTAAGACACTGGCTACTGAGGGAGGGGCAAGAGCGCAGTGCCCAGAAACTATGGACATATGAGAGTTCTGTCCATTTATCCCCACGGCGGGCAAAATTTTTCGAGGTCCTAGAGATGGAAAATTCAAGAGTTCCCTCTTGTGGTCATCACGTCCCATTGTCAAGGTCATACTGAGGTCAGATCTTAGTGAATAGAGAAATTACTCGTTCAGGACAGAATGTATAGG